AAACCAATATTTCATACATGATCAGCCATCATAGTACATGGTGAGACAACGTTTACGGTAGGGTTTCCTATGTACTCGGTCTGTCCACCATTTCCTAAGATATCCAGTAAGACTACCGTTTCATCTAATCATTTAATCACACAATTTCTTTATTGTTTAAACTTTATTTTGCTCGATTCAGCAGTAAACACGTAAAATAAACCATACATGCATTCAAATGTATAAAATAAATAAATAAAATACTATCATGCAGGTAAACTGTAAAAACAATCAACAATCGTAGTAGATAATTTCCGGTTCCGGCTCCATTAGCAATCCATAATTAATTATGCATGTTTGCTATTATTTATTTAAACTTTAGTTCTATGATAGAGAATAGGGTGGGGGATCCTTACTCGATTTGACACCTGAAAAGGTAAACTGTTACTGCGCTTACGGGCGGTTCTTGGGTTCCCTGAATTTTTCTACGGGAATCGAAACACGCTAATAATACCAACAAATGTTCTAAATAAACCCAAAATTAGTCCCATGGCCCACTCGGCCAATTTCAGAATTCCAGCATGGCGACTCTGCCGTGCTCTGGCGACGACACTGCCGCCCGCAGCGGGGATCCACCTCGGGTCGACCGTTTTCGGCCGATTTTGTATCGATCCCTGCGAAAAACACGTTAAAGGGTTTCGGTTGGCCCAAAAAAATACGAAAAACCGAAATTTACCGGCGGCGGGGCTTTCCGGTACGGTGGCTCCTCCTGCTCACGTTGCGATTAGGTGTTTTGCTTTGATTAACTTGTAAAGAAGAAAACGGTGATCACAACGGTAAAAAAATTACGCGAAACGAGAATCGGGAAGGGACTCATCGATAGTCTTTTGTGAAATTTTCCGCCACCGCGGCGCCGGATTTCACTGGTGTTTTCCGGCCAATTAACCGATCTTTTTGCTCTTATTTGACCATGAATGAGCTTAAAATTGAATTTTGTGCAAAATAAGAAGTTTTTACCTTTTTTGGCAGTTGGAAAGGGTTCCGGTGCGGCGATGGGTGGCGGTGGTTGACTCCCCGACGGCTGGGTCATCTTCTCTGGCGAGGGTTTCTAGCGGCTAGGGTTAGGATTTGGTGCGGATGAGGGTTATTTATATCCATCCGCTTTTGATCTGGGCTGTCCATTGTATTCGATCTGTACCGTCCGATCGCAATTAAATAGGGAGTGAATTTGGGTCGTTCATCGCGATCCAATCTGGGTCGTCCATCGCGATTCACTCTGAACCGTCCAATCGCGTTTGAATCTAGCCATTCGATCGCATTTGGGATGAAGCGCATCCAGGCTGTCCATGCACGCGGGAACGGACCTCAGCCGTTCGATCGCGGGCACGCGGATCGCCCACATGGCCTCCCGCGTCAGAGTCTCTGCCACTTGACGCGTCCTGGTTTGTTAGAGCTGCTGACCGGGTGTCTGATGTGGCGAAACTTCTCTAAATTGCATTTTGACCCCTGTTTTCTAATTTTTCTTTCAAAAATACCTCTAAAACTCAAATTTTCACCTATTTTCTCTAAAATTATTTTCAATTTAATCCTACATCAATTTTATTTTATTTTTATTTTAAATTAAATAAAATAAAATACAATAAAATAAAATAAATTAATAAAAATTATATTTATTAATTATTTAATTAAAACAAAACAAAAAAAAAATTTGTGGGTGTTACACGTATTGTATCTGATAACTTACAGGAATTTATAAATATTAGAACTGTCAAAGAAAAATCTTCCTGGTGTGCAGAGTTGGTCTTCTGCTTGAATCCCGCTTGAGGAACACTGAACTTACTGAAACGAATCTTAATCAAGGACTTGATATCTTACATATACTAGTATATATATGAACAAATTTACGGAGGTGGGCAAGTGCTGTAATAATTAACCTCCTATGCTGCTACTGTGGGAGCAATTTTTGTCCAATCTACCGATACATGGAAGGATAACTAATGAAAATATGCATGGTCGATTTCAGCTTTTTTAGTTGGTTAGATATTTTTTTCCTTTGTTTTTGATATGTTCACTTAACCTCTAGACCTTTGCAACTTTCTAGGCATCATCTTTTTGGACTCCCTTTCAGAACCTAGCAGTGTGGAGAGATCATGAGATTGACGAGCATATAGATGTGCTATGAGTGGTCTGATGCTGATGCACGTACACTC